GTCCATACGGTAGCTGCTGCTGCTGCTGCTGCTGTTGCTGCTGCTGCTGCTGTCGCTGCTGCCGTTGCTGCTGCTGTTGCTGCTGCTGTGGCTGCCGCTCTTGTTGGTGCTGCTGTTGCCGCTGCTGCTACCTCTGTTGCTGCGGCCGACCGCCTCCTCCTGCACCTAGCTCAGATGCTTGCTGCTGCTGCTGCTGCTGCTGCGGCTGCTGCTGCTGCTGCAGGGGATGTGGTGGCAGTGACAGTTGTGGGGGAGAGCGCTGGGGGCCGCCACTTGTACTTAGACAGACACGATGGGCTTATTGACTATGCGCAGCAAGACAGGTGCTGCTGTTGCTGCTGCTGCTGCTGCTGCTGGGGCTCTCAGTGCTGCTGGTGCTGCTGCTGGTGTGGATAAAGTTGCTGCCACTTCTGCAGCCCCAGGAGTTGCTGCTGTTTGTGCTGCTGCTGCCGCTGCTGCTCCAGAGATGCCTGCTGCTGAGTGACGTGGCGGTAGCAGCAGCAACGCTAAGCAGCAGCAAGCAGCAGCAGCAACAAGCAGCAGCAACGCTAAGCAGCAGCAGCAGCAGCAAGCAACAGCAGCAGCAGCAGCAGAAGCAGCAGTGCGTGTATATGCGTTTCAGGCCTAGACATCTTTTCACAACTTCGATGCGACTTCGAGAGGTGAAGGAGCCACTCTGCTGCTGCTGCTGCGGTTGCTCTTGCTGCTGTTGCTGCTGCTGAAAGTGCTCTCTATTCTGCTGCTGCTGTTGCTGCAGGACTCCCGAGCTGACCCCTTGCTGCTGGCGCATCTGGAGACCTAAGCTAGCTGCTGCTGCTGCTGCTGCTGCTGCTGCTGCTGCAGCAGTTGCTGCTGAGTGGCAGCAGCAACAGTTTGCCCCTGCCTACTGGCTGTAAACCCTAAACCCTAAACCCTAAACTCCTCAACTAAACCCTAAACCCCAAACCTCTCAACTAATGCGCTAAACATCCGCCATTTGTTTGGCAGCAACTGCTGCTGTTTCAGATTTAAAAAGGCCAAGAGAGGCAACACCAAAGTTCGGTGCTGCTGCTGCAGCATTTGCTGCTGCTGCTGCTGCTGCTTTGATTAGTGGTTGGGTTTTTGATTAGCGCTGCGCTGCCGTTTAAACAGGTCACACGGCAGCCGCAACACCAAACCCTAAACCCTAAACCCTAAACCCTCGGCTGCAACAGCGGCTGCTGCTGCTGCTGCTGCTGCTGTCGCTGCTTAGAGACACGCGAAGCACATTGCAGGCCCGCGCAGCAGCAGCAAATTAAATAAATAAATAATTGACTAATTAATTAAATAAAAGATGCGGAAAGAAGAAAAGAGAAGAGAGACATTTAATCATAAAAAGGGAGAAGACCAGCAGCAAGTGCCAGATTCCACGGCCAGCCTGCTGCTGCTGCTGCTGCTGGCACTGCTGCTGCTGCTGGTACTGCTGCTGCAGCTGCCCGCTGCAGCTGCCACTTCTGCAGCTGCCGCCGCTGCAGCCTGCGCGGGCAGCGCCGCTGCTGCCATCCTGCCGCTGCAGCCGCCGCCCCTGCTGCTGCTGCTGCTGCTGCAGCAGCAGCAGCTTAGCTGTCACGCTGGGAAAAGGCGAGATAGACTTCCTTGGCGCCGCGCATTCTGTACCTGTCTACGATGTAGCCAGCAGCAGCAAACGACAGCAGGAAGCCGAGGCAGAAGAGAACAAACATTGCTGCTCCCCCCATCTTCAGCAGCAGCAGCTGCTGCAGCAGCAGCAGCAGCAGCAGCAGCGGCGGCAGCAGGCTTCTGCGGCTCCTTGGAACTTTGCGGCTCGCAGCAGCAGCTGCTGCAGATCAGACGCTCCACTCACGACTGCTGCTGAGCATAAGATCCTGAAGAGACAGCAGCAGCAGCAGCAGCAGCAGCAGCAGCAGCAGCAGCAGCAGCAGCAGCACAGTCACCAGTGTTAAGAAGGAGCAGCGCGGGAAGACTCTACAGATATTTACACAAGTTGTCTCACTAGCAGCCAGGAAACCGGACCTAAACTCCAAACCCTAAACCCTGAACCCTAAACCCTAGACAGCATCTAAGACTGGAGGGCCTGGGGTTTGAGGTGAGACCCTAAACCCTAATTGAGAGAGGGTTTACGGTCCCGGTGTAAGAGGGAATTCGACATACTTCGATTGAGGGCTCAGGACTGAGAGATAAGGGTTTACGATTTAGGGTTTAGGGTTTAGGGTTTAGGGTTTGGGTGGCTCACCAATGAGGTACAGCGAGACAAGCGAGCCGAAGAAGGTGAGAAAGAAGGTGCCCCAGTCAATCATGGTGTACTATAATTTGAAATATGTTTAATTTCGTGTTTGAATTCCCCTGAAATTCACTTTCAATGCAATTCTGCTGTTGCTGCTGCTGCTGCTGCTGTTGCTGCTGCTGCTGCTGCTCGGCTGTCTGTACACCCGAGAGCAGCAAGCCTCGCGCAGCGCGACCACCCGGCTGGCCACGGGGTACCGATTTTCGCCATTTTTGGGTCTTTTTCGCCGCTTTTTTGAATTTATTTAATTTTATTTGAATTTAAAACTAAAAAAGGAGTTTTTTTAATGCACACAGCGACGAAAAGGACAAACATTGACCGCCGACTGGTGGGTGGGTGGCAGATCACCGCGAGCCCCTTCTTGTTTGCAGGAACCCCCAACAAGCCAGCTAAACACACAATTAAATGAATAGACGATCAACTAATAAATAAATAAATAAATACATAACAAATAAATAAATAAATTATTTTAAATAGTGAATTTATCGACAAGTTGAACACGAATTCATCATTTGGCACACATTCCCCCTGCGCCGCCTCGCTAGCCCTCTAGGGTTTGGGGTTTAGGGTTTGGCTACTTGCTGTTCTTTTGCTGCAGTTTCTTCAGCAGCAGCAGCAATTAAATAAAACTAAATAAATAAGCAGCAGCAGCAACTCCTGATGCCAGCAGCAAATCCCAAAGAGTTTTAAATAAAATGCTGCAGCAGTTCACGGAAAATGTCGGCGAAGGCACCGCGGCACTCTCGCCAAACCCTAAACCCTAAACCCTAAACCCGACATTGTAGACCCCAAGTTCCAAACCCCAAACCCTAAACCCTAAACCCTCAGCGCTGAGCCTGTTTGTGCTCTGTCGGCCTCTAACGAGGGTTTGCGGCCATCAGCTCCGCTCTAGGGTTTAGGGTTTAGAACCACCAACTAGGGTTTAGGGTTTTGAATTTAGAACCACCAGCTAGGGTTTAGGGTTTAGGGGACGAAAGTGGCCAGCATCTGCAGAACACAAACAGATAAACCCCAAACCTCACTCTTCATTTATCACTTTTGCAAATAAATAAATTGTTTAATTAATTATAAATAAATAAACAAATTAATTAATTAATTAAAAATAAATAAATAAATAAATAAAGATGAAACAAATTCATAAAATAATGCAAATAAAAATAGTAATAGTAGGAGAATCCGCAGAGCAAACGAGGGTTTAGGTCCAGCTTCTAGGGTTTAGGGTTTAGTGTTTAGTGCAGCGACTAATCAAGAACTTGCGCCTAACCCCTAGGGTTTAGGGTTTAGGGTCTGTGTGGCCAGCGAAGAGATGAGGGTTTACGCCCTAGGGTTTAGGGTTTGGGGGAGGGGGCGGGGGCGCGAGGGTTTCTGGGGCGCCTCGAGGGTCTAGGGTTTAGGGTTTAGGGTTTAGGGTTTGGGGGAGGACCTGGCGGAGCTGCCTGAGTTTGTTTTTGTTTTTGAATTTATTTATAATTTCTTTTTCTTGAGTTTCTTCTCGAGGGTTTTCATTTTCAACTTCAATTTCTGCTGCTGCAGCAAGCCGCTGCAGCAGCGCCGCCGTGCGCTGCTGCTTCTCGCCCTGCAGCAAACCACCCTAAACCCTAAACCCTAAACCCTAAACCCCAAACCCTAAACCCTGAAAGTGACTGAAGAAACTGAAACGGCTGGCAAGCCGTGTTTGAGGGACATAGAAATAAATAGAGACACGAAACTGTACAGAATGCTCGCCCGCAAGGGTTTAGGGTTTAGGGTTTAGAATTTAGGGTTTAGGGTTTGGAGTCTAAGGAGCTGAGTCAAAGCCAGGGTTTAGGATTTTTCATCTAATATGGGGTTTGCGGAGCTGGCTCTTTCCCCCAATTCAGGGTTTTGGGTTAAGGGTTTAGGGTTTAGGGTTTGGGGTTTGACCTGGTGCTGCTCCTGCTCCACGAGGGCGGCGAGTTTGAAAAGGGTTTTCATTTCTTCTTTTTTTTTAAATGAACAGAAATCACTAAACCCTAATGGCCAGCAGCAAAGAGAGAAGTCCACTTCTGCTGCAGCAAAAAGGGTTTGCCACCGAAGGGCTTCCCAGCTGCCCACGAAGCAAACCGCCTCCCCTGCACCGCACAAACCCTAAACCCTAAACCCTAAACCCTAACCCCTAAACCCTAAACCCTAAACCCTGGGCCCGGGAGGGGCGCAGCGGAGTCTGGGAAGGCGGCGGCTTCCCAAGGGCCCGTTTGGGGCTGCAGCGCTGCGCGCTCGTCGACGAGGGTTTAGGGTTTAGGGTTTGGGGTTTAGGGTTTAGGGTTTACCGTCTTGGCCTGCTCTCGCCGTTCTGCCGCATCTGTGAATTAGGGTTTCTGCATCTCGAGGGGGTTGGAAGTTTATAACCTTTTCAACTTTCTTGAAGTCCAAACCCCTAGCAGCAACGTCGCTGCTCACCAGCAGCCCGTAGTTGCTGCTGCTAAACCTGCAGCAGCAGCAGCAGCAGCAGCAGCAGCAGGGTGGGTGCAGGCGCGGGAGGCGCAGCAGAGGGAGGGTGGCTGCAGAGCAGAGCCGCACCCACAGCAGCTGCAGCAGCAGCTGCTGCTGCTGTTGCTGCGACTGCTGCAGCAGCCGCAGCAGCTGCAGCAGCTGCAGCAGCTGCTGCAGCAGCTGCTGCAGCAGCTGCTGCAGCAGCAACTGCTGCGGTCCTCTAACTTCGAAAAAGTCAGGAAAAAAAGTTGCAGCAGCAGCAGCAGCAGCAGCAGTTCTTGCCTGTCTAGTCTTTTCAGCCTTTGCTTTTGCTGCAGATTCGAGTGGAGACCAACAACAGCAATTTTCTGCTTGTGGCGCAGCTGCAGCTGCTCACTCAGCAGCAAGCTGCAGCAGCAGCAGCAACAGCAGCAGCAGCAGCAACAGCAGCAGCAGCAGCAACAGCAGCAGCAGCAGATTTAAAAACAAGCTTTTGAGGTGCGCTGTGACATCATTCAGCTATAGATTAGCAGGGGAGGGTTTCGGGCAAAGGCTGCAGACCACGATTTAGGGTTTAGGGTTTAGGGTTTAGGGTTTACCCGAGCAGGGACTCGAGTCTGTAGACATAAGAAATTGTATTTACAAACAGCAAAACCCGCAGCTGCTGCTTCTGCTTCGCCTTCGAGTCGAAAGTGCGCAGCAAATAGGCAGCAAGATCCACCTCCTGCAGCAGCAGCAGCAGCAGCAGCAGCAGCAAAGATGACGCAGCAAGCTTGCTGCTGTTGCTGGCATGGAGGGGGGCGGCTGATGCAGCTAACGCTAATATCGCGAAAACCTGCTGCTGCTGCTGCTGCTACTACTACTACTCCTGCTGCTGTTGCTGCTATTCCTGCTTCTGCTGCTGCTGCTGTTGCAGCGACTCCTGCTGCTGCTGCTGCTACTCCTGCTGCTGCTGCTGCTAACCATTTCACTTTCTGCGGTGCACTTCCAGACGCTGAGGCGGAGAGTCGGCGGCAGCTTGCTGCTGGGCTGCTGCAGCTGAGTCTCTCCAGAGTTTTGCTGCTGCTGCTGCTGCTGCTGCTGCTGCCACACATGCTGCTACTGTTCCTCGTCAGTGATGCGCACTGCTACCAAATG